ACCTTAGTTTCGTCACCAAAAAGGTCCAAATCGTCAACATCATCGCATCTAGCAGCAGCAACAAGAGTAGGAGTAGCAGCCTCAGCCTTGCTGCTACTAACTCTCACTCTAGCAACCTTGTCGGGTAAGGTGGAAGCGAGTTGGGACAAAGGGTGTCATACCACTTGCTCACATTGGCAAAGGAACCGGCGGCTTCTTGAACACGGCGGCATACACCTTGATGTCATCCAAAGTCAGCTTGGCTCTGAGATTGGGATGAGCAATGAATTAAAAACCATAAATAAAGTAAAATCCATTGAAATATACAAAAAAATAAAGACGAAGAAGAAGAAGAAATTGTTACCTAGAGATGTAAGATTTGCTGGAGAGGAACTTGTTGAGGGCTTTGAGACCGGCATCGGTGTAAAGATCTGAGAAATTCTCGACTGGGTTGGGTTTTAGGTTAAATTTCCCAATTGGGTTTCCCATTTTATCAGAAATCTTAATAGGGTTCTGTTTGTTTTGTGAGTTGCAGATGTGTTCAATCCATTTTCTTCGACGATGAGCTTGAGCCAGGTGTTGAACATGGTGGACCAGTTCATGGACAACCCATTCCTCGCAGGTCCAAGAGGAGGATCGAGAAGGGGATGGATGTGAAGGAGAATAAGGAGGCTCTGTTTTTGCGAATGGACATGCCAAGATTGGACAAGCAAGACGTGAAGATTTCGGTGGAGCAGAACACCCTGGTAGTGAGAGGGGAGGGGAAGGACTCGGAGGACGAAGACGGAGGAGTGAGGAGGTTCACCAGCATACTGGATTTGCCTCCGGATCTATACAAAATCGATGAGATTAGGGCTAAGATGAAGAATGGGGTTGTAGATGAGAGAAGGGAGGGTACTGGTTGCAGTGGATAGAAGGGAGAGTACGAGTTGCAGAGGAAAGAAGGGAGGGAGGGGGTTGGGAGAGGTAGAAGCGGGTGGGGTTTTGTTTTTGTTTTTCGAATTTTTGAATTTTTAATTTCCACGTGGCGCCAATCATTGTCCACATGGGCGACACGTCATTAGTTAACGGAAGACTTAACAGTCAGACTAACGGATGTATGAGACTGTCCCAAAACTAACATTTTAGGTATGACTCTGGGATGCAAAAAAACTTTATGTACCAAATGTTGAAAACTACAAAACTTGAGGGTAGTAAATTGAGATTTACCCTTAAAAATAATTAGAACTCAGAGGATTAGAAATCTAGAATTAGTAAAATTATATCAAACCCTAACTCGATTTTAAAATCATCAACTCGGAACTCTAATTCAACTTTAAAATTCCCAAATCGTAAGCCTTAAATCAATTTCAAAATTTCCAAATTGAAAATCCAAATCCAATTTAAAATTCCTAATTTTTCCATTATTTTTTTTAAAAAATCACGAAGTTTTTCCATTCAGGAAAACCGAATACCATACCAAAAATTTTGGTTAAGTTTCAGTTTTGGTTATCAAACGGTTTGGTATTGACTGGGTTTTATTTTTTCGGTTGGTTTGGTAGGGACTCGAGGAAGAAGACGGATAGAAGGAAGAAAAAGGGAAAAGACAAAGACTAAAACATTTGATTTTTCATTTCATAGTATTTCAAACGGTGAAAGTTGGTTCTTATACATGATTGGAACGCATCTCCACTCTCTACCCTGTTGGATGATGCCAACATTAACAACTGAAAAGACAATAATACCATAAAGATAATAGCCTAGTTACAATATGGTCCAGAGTCCTAACACACACCTACTTATATTGGCCCTTAAAAGTTAATTTTACTTTATTTTGAATGGAATTTAAGGGCGAATATGAGTGTTGTCCCATTTTAAATCAAAGTTGTTTTACACCTACAAGTTTGGTGGGTTTCTTCTTGATTTGTAGTCAATCTGTGGAGGTAAAAGAACTTTCATTTAGAGCTATGAGTGTGGTCAACATAACATTTTACGTAAACATGCACAACCCTTGGCCCCCCATCGTTCCCATTTTCAGGTTTTCCAGTTCCCACAACCAGTTGAAGGTGGCGTTTCGAAGGCGAACGTTGGTGGCCTGGCCTTATGAAAGGTACCGGCAGCCTGGCGCACGGAGGCATCGGGCATGGCAAGGACATTGTGATTGCGGTTGGGCGCCGAGAACTCGGCCGGTGGAAGTCTGTTTTGTTTTTTCTTTTGTTATTAGGAGGGAACAATAGACGGTGTTTTCGTTGTATATACATCTTAACTTGAATTGTTTCCTCCTACTCTAAAGAATGGTAATGGCTGCTCATGAAATATACAGTATGGCTTTCTCAGCAAGGGATCTATCGCTAAGTTCCGTGACCACCGGAAAAAAAAAAAAAAAAAAAGGTCCGGTCAAGCAAGTTTATCATCGTGGGTTCCTTCAATTTAACGTACAAGTCACAACAACAACCAGTATAAAAGAAAATTCCACAAATGTAAAGCAATATCCCAACAAGGAACCAAATTTGCAAAAAATTGTCAAATTCTTGATGCAATAACAAAGAAGATAGAGTAGCTAGCAGCAAAATAACGCACACAGCCCTTGAATTCGCAACTATTCCCGATCCCTGGATTCTCGTCCGTAGTAAACCAAAGCAGTGCCGAGTTTCTGGAAGACAATGACAGACTGTTACAAGTAGCCTGATTATCAAAAGGTACTCAAAACACAACTCAGAACTCACAATTTTCAACATAAAACTTCATTAGTGTAGTAATCAAGAGGCGAAGAAAAATCAAATATAGCAGTCAGATCGGATAGGCAATGCAAAACAAACACCATTGAAGGAACTAACCTTCACAAACGACAAGTTATACGGGTGAAAGAACAGTTATCTTAGGTGGAGTTAACTGAATTGGTTTGGGTGATAGCCAAACTCATACAGCGCTTTGAACTGATGAAGATCCTGAAAGTGGTTGCTGACGTTACTGTGTGAGTGGGAGACGTGTGCTTGGGTATCGAGGGATGGATGCTGACTTTGCCAGTCCCCTGAAGAGACCGGCACACCTTGAGTCATTGCATGCATCCCCTGTTGAGGCGAGTTGTTATGATAGCTTTGGCTGGTATCAAGTGGAACAGGTTTCGACCCGCCTGAAACCCAAGGACTCGTTGACAGAAGAGAGAGAGCACGATGAATATCCTGTGTTGCATCCAGGTTGAAGGAAATCATAGATTCTTCAGCACCTGCAAACATAACAAAATAAAACTTACACCACCTTTTAACATATATGAATATCGATGAACTACGGGATGTGATACTATTTAAATCCAAACAAAAACATTTGTCTGCGAGGTTCAAGAATATTTCAAACAGTGAATAACAAAAAATGATTGATTATGAATCATAAGGCAGTAGTGTGAAGTAAAACAGACCCCCGCTAAGAACCTCAGCCGCAGTGCTCTTGGATGGTGACAGCCTACTGGAATCCTGATAAAGCCTAGTTATCAAGCCTGGAGTTTCATTGCTGGCAAAATTTAGCTGCCTGGCAGTGCCTCCTGCTTTTGCAGGATTTGGAAAATAATCTTTCGTTTGTGTGAACTTGAGGTTGCACGAGCCATCCCATGCTAAATGCGAAGCATGCTTTGTGTAAACATATGGACCTCGGTCAAAAGCAAAACTCATCTGTTGCCTGTCATCTGCATTGGAGTGAAAAACCAGCTCAACGTTAATGGATAAGTCACGGGACAGTACAAATATGATTAAGTACTTAACATAAGCATTAATCTAAAAGCATGCCAGATGACCAATATTGCAGTTGGCTTATTTTTCAGGGATAGATAACAACTAGCACACTGGCTTTTGCACTGGAATGCAGTGGATCTTCACAAGTAAATCTCGAAAAACGCATGAGATGAACTATTAGATGAGTGAATTAACACTGGTTGGCTTGTTTGCATCCCTGACAACTCTAAAACAGAAACAGAATCGTACTGTTTAAACTAAGATTTAATAAAAAAACATCCTTGGTCTATATCACGATTTGATGTATGTTGGTAAGTGGCAAGAATTTGAGCATGAGTTCAAAACCTGTAATGAACAGTGATGAAGACAGCCTCGCTGGGTGTCTCACTACTTGTGTCTGTGGCTTGCGGCGCCTTGCATTGTGATCAGAAAGTCGCCTGCGACAGCTTCGCTTGTTTTCATCAAATTCAGAAAGGCCATGGAACCTTTAAGAGTACAAAGGATTTATGCATACGAAGATCGACGTTAGAAAAGAACTCAAGCTCATTCTGATTAAACCTTTAAAAGAAACAAAACATCATCATAATTCAGAAAACAAGTCATCTCTAACAAGCTTTACCTGCTACACTGCTGGCAAAACCGGCGTTCCACACCATCTACAACAACCTTCGGAGATTTGGAATGATTTGCACAAATCCTATGTTTGCGATGGTAATCTTTGACTGATGAAAGATCAAGATTGCAGCCTTCAACTTGGCAGTGTGATGCAAACGCACTCTGAGCAGGGGACTTAAACCTCTTTGTCCTTGTCGATATTGATGTGGAAATAACGGAAGGAGAAGAGGTCTCATGATTATTTCCTGCACAAACGTCTTCGAAGTACATCCGCTTACCAAGCTTTAGACTGAGCAAGGGCTCGCCAGAGCCAGCAGAAACCTCATGAGTTGGAGAAGATCCAAGGGCCTCAGCTTCAGCTGAATCCTTTTTATCAATGAAATCCTTTGGGAAACCTTCAAAAGACTCAAAGTTGAAATTGGATTTCTTACTTTCCCCGACTGAAGAATTGACAGAAGCTGATTTCGAACACTTTGATGAACCATCTCCAAAATCAGAGCCGGAAACACCACTACCCCCATCACCCCCAGTCGAATAGAAAGATTCAGAGTTCATTCCTCGTTCCCTTTCAATGCCCCAGTCTGCTGGTTGTACCCTTTTAGGATTTTCAGTAACTTTTGCACCATACATGAAAAGGTTCTCCAAATCCCATGGTGAAGGAGGTTTTTCATTCCACTCCATCATCAGCACCGAATTCATAAAACTACTTCAAAATCGTGATTTCAGATAACGCAAAAGCAACCAGCCACCAGATGCTGCAAACATATAATACCACATAAGATTATATGAAAGCACATATGTTGCAAAGTAAATGGGAGGATCACAGTAAATCTTTTTTGCAGATCAAAGAACATTGTCGAATTGCTTGAGCTTAGATCTGCACAAATACAAAAAGCTCAAACAATGCAGACCAAACAATTAAATACACAAGCAAAAGAAGCATCTCACCGCAGAGAAACCGTGTTCCAATCCCTGTAAATCTTTTTCACAGCTATAACTAGTATTTCTAAATCACCGTCCTACCTCTAAAGGTCGTACCCAGTGCACAAGGCTCCCGCTTTACGCAGGGTCTGGGAGAGGTGAATGTCGGCTAGCCTTACCCCCATTTATGGAGAGGCTGCTCCCAAGTTTCGAACCCGAGACCTATCGCTCATGGGCGAAGGCACTTGCCATCGCACCAAGTGCGACCTCTATCACCGTCCTACCTCTAAAGCTAATAAATTGATGTCAGATTTTTAAGACACACAGATGCAATAGTCCCCATCTACTCTATTTGACCGAAAGCACGACTCCGATTACATAAATTCAAAACCCTACCTAATGTATTCCGCATATCCGAGTCATTTCTTCTCAGTCAAGTAGTTTTAACAGTCCCCACCAATTCACAAACTTACAACCAAACCTGAACCCCCAGTAAGTTTGTCAACTGCTCCCCATTCCCCTGAAAATATTTTGAGGTGAAATTTAGGCCAACCTGGATTTTTACTCTCTGACCCAAGATGAAATTTACCAACTTTATACATGAACATTACCTCTGCATCTCTCTCTCTCTTCAATTGTTTCTAATAATTTTTTTTTTCTTCTTTTAACTTGTTACCGTGACCTTTACATACATACCCTGTACTTTCCAGACCTTTTAGCTCCAATAATTCATTTATTCAATACAGTCGAAATCTCATAAAGTCGGCCATTCAATAACCCCCACCCACTACACCCTATCAAGCATCAACCAACATTTACACTTCACCTCCACTGCTCTGCAATTCATACATTCCTCCCACAAAAAAAAAAAAAAAAAAAAAAAAAACCCCTCAAAGCCTCTTGTAATGGTCTCGTAGCTCAGTTGCTTAAGAGCATTCTCCATTGCACATGAGATCTCGGAATTTGAATCCTCCTCCCCTAATATCAATTGTATAAAAAATATAAAAAGTAAAATCTCAAAGCCTCTTCCTTTTTAGTCACCAAGAAATTGTCACCAGTCAACAAGCGTAATCACGCATCAAATTGAGCAACTTAATATCTTAATCAAACGGGTTTTTAATCCCAAAAAGAAAGATTACTTCTTTTTGCTTTTCCTAAATTTTGCTTTACTAAATACCCAATAATTTTTTTATTTTATTTATACAAAATCTGGAACCAGACCCCCAAAGAAATTGCTTTTAGCCTTTTTATGCATATACCAACGAAGGTCAATAATTTTCCAGTACAATATATGGTAAAAATATAAAATAAAATTTCAGTTCCCACTAATTTAAATACATTACAGGAAGAAAGAAATAAATAAATAAAAATCTAAAACTAATTTTCCAAAATTAGAAATTCCAGCAGCTTCAATCGCCATAATTACTCTCTTGTTTCCCCCAAAACAGATACCAATCTAATATCGGCACAATCACAGCCGCAGCGACTCATCGTTTCCCAAAACTTCCAAAATAAAACATACAGCATACATATTGATTCCATTCAGCAGAAAGATGAAAAAAAAATAAAAAAATTAAAAAAATAAAAACCCAACTTTTATACCATGAAATGCTACAAGTACAGCGGGAAAAGGAGAAAAGTGGAAAATTGGAAAATGATTGCGAGCTGAGGTTGTAATTAGTAAAACTTACATGGTGATTTGGGGAAGGTTGCAGAGGAGCTTTTGAGGTATTAAAGAGAGAAAAGCATTTTCTGGCAGTGACCCCCCATTCCCTTTCCTAAAGTTTCAATCTTTGGTCGTAAGAATTGACCAGTGCGAGAGAGGAGAGAGGAGAGAGAAAGAGAGAGGAGCGAGAGACATCAAACTTTTGCTACTTTTGCTTTGCTTTTGGGTCTTTGGCAGCCTCGTCTTTTATTCCCTTTTTCTTCTTACTTTCTCTCAGTAAACCCAACAGGGAAAAGCGTCCAACAAAGAAAAGAAAAATAGTTGGAGAAAGACTGTCCGGTTCGTCCGGTTCACCGGTCCAACCGAATGGTCACCGACTTTTTTTTCATTTCTTGTATATATCGGAGAAGAAATGTTCGAAAACAAACCTCAGATGTAGAGTTATCGTTTTTAATCATCTTATTTAGGTTTGTGGGCGTCTTAAATTTGATTCACACAAATATGAGAATGATGTACATTTTGTGTTCTACTGAGTTCAATACTAAATTGTGATTCATTATGATTTGTTGTAGTTAAATTAACATTCTGTTAGTTAAAAGTATTAACGCATGACTAAAAGAGCAACTTAGATTGGTGAACTCCAATGTGAATAGTATTTGTACCGTGAATATTGTTGCTTGGTGTTTTCCAAGCCTCTTTGAAAGAATGACGAGACAAATCAAACATGTTGCTTATTTACACATGATGTACAATGGATTTCAGTTGTTTAAATACGATTAGTGGGTCAAAAACTACTTTTAATTATGAGAAATTTAACGAAAAGCTTCCGATACTGTTCACTTTAACAAAAAACCACAATTTTACATTAAAAAGTCAATCCTTGTACTATTCACTTTACTCTTTATTTGTCCTTATTGTTAAAACTCAAAATTTTCAAGCTATTTTCATTAATTTTCCTTTGGCTAAATAACCAAAATGGTCAATGAGATTTGCATAACTCATCACTTTGGTCATTGAGATTTTAATTATTTTGGGTATTTTTGTACTTTTATCGTTTCATTTCCTTTTGTTGTTAGAGTGTCATGGAACTATTTAAACAACTTCACTTTCAAAGTTGTCTATCGGCTATCTTTTCTTTTTATTATTAATTAATACGAGTTTTTCCCAATTCTTTGGTGAAGTTGACTGTTAGTCTGTTATTGTCAATCTAAACTTTTATTATTGGTATTATATTTTTTTTTAACAAACGATATTATCTATAATAAGGAGAAGAGAATGAGTTTAATCTTACAATGAGCTCATAATAATGTCGTTCAAATTTACCTTCGATGAGAATTGAACCTAAGACCTCTCACTTACAAGGGAAGAGAAATATCACTAGACCGTAGTATTAAGTGATTATTATTATTACTATTAAAATAGTAGAGAAACTAAAACTTACCATCCCATTCCAAAATTCCCGTACATGTTTTCATGGTTGGAGTGTGGTCATATAATAATCTACCACAAAAGACGTTAACAATGTCATGTGGAGTGCTCTTGATTTGGGAATTTTGGTTAGATTAAGTAAAGTAAACTAAGGATTGTGTCTTGGACTAATTTACAAAACGACTGAGAAAATTTAAAAAAAAAAAAATATTGTGAGGGTCCCCATGTTGAGAGATTTTCTAATGAGTTTAGAACACGAAACACTACGTCATATATTATTATATAAATGGAGGAATTTTTTTTTCTAAATACACCGTAAAATCTCTACCTAGGTTAAGATTTGGGATAATCACAATTAATATTTAAATGTTATAAATAGGCAAAAGTTAGAGAGATAGCCTTTGCTATGGACGTGAGCGAGGTTGTTGCAATATATTACACTAACACAAAATGATTGCAGATAAGAGAGAAATAGGAGGATACTAAAAATATTCTAACTTTTCTTTCTTTCTCACTCTATCTCTTTGAACACTCGTAATGCTCTCTTTATAGAGCAAATACTTTGAAAGCAAACAAATTATACTATTAAGCTTGTGAAAAGTTTACTGTATGCATGTGGGCATACATACCCACTATTTACAACACTTCCCCTTGGATGCCCACATATCAACATTAGTTGCCTCGTTAAAACCTTGCTTGGAAAAACCCAGTGGGGAAAAAAAAACCATAGTGAAGGAAAAAGAGTAGTTGATATGGTGTTAAGCATACTTATGTTGCCTCGTTAAAACCTTGATAGGAAAAACCCAATGGGACAAATCCTAATCGAAGGAAAAATAGTACAACATGCATGTATCATGGATGCTCCCCCTGAATTGTATCTCCCCCTGATTCCGCATTCTTCAAATTTGTAAGCCGACGTAATCTGATTCCCTGCACTAACTTCTGAAATGTGCACTTTGGTAGAGATTTGGTGAACAAGTCTGCTAAATTTTCATTGGAACGGATTTGTTTGACTTCAATAACTTTAACCTTCTAAGGCTCAAGTGCATTGAAAAATCTTGGAGATATGTATTTAGTCTTATCACCCTTGCTGAATCATTCCTTCATCTGGGCGACACATGCTGCATTATCTTTATGGATGACAGTTGGAGTGTCTATCTTTGAAGGTAGACCACATGAATTCCGGATGTGATGGATCATTGATATTAACCAAGAACATTCACGACTTGCTTCATGTAAAGCAATTATTTCCGAGTGATTGGAAGATGTAGCAACTAACGTTTGCTTCGTTGATCGCCATGAAATTGCAGTATCCCCATTAGTGAACACTTATCCATTTTGTGAGCAGGCTTTATGCGGATCAGAGAGAAAACCAGCATCTGCGTATCCAACAAGAATCTGGTCATTTGTGGGCTTGTCTGAGTAGAAGAGACCCATATATGTTGTCCCACGAAGGTATCGTAGAACATCTTTGACTCCCTTCCAATGACGAATTGTTGGAGCAGAGTTATACCTGGCTAACAAGTTAACTGAAAAAGCTATATCTGGTCTAGTATATTGTGCTAAATACAATAAAACACCTATTGCGCTCAAATATGGTACTTTTGGACCAAGGACCAGTTCATCGTCTTCTTTTGGACGGAATTGATCTTTCTTAATGTCCAAATAACGAACGACCATTGGCGTGCTAAGTGGATAAGTCTTGTCCATGCCAAATCGCTTCAGTATTTTTTCAATGTAAGCTGATTGATGGACCAAAATTCCATTAGCACAATGCTCGATCTGCAAGCCAAGACAATATTTTGTTTTCCCAAGGTCTTTCATTTCAAATTCGCTTTTCAGATATTCAGCAGTTTTATTGAGCTCTTCAAGGGTTCCCTAGGTTCATATTATCAACATATACTGCCACTATAGCAAATCCAGTATTTGATTTCTTAATGAACACACAAGGGCAGATGACATTGTTGATATATCCTTCTTTGATCAAATACTCACTGAGACGATTATACTACATTCGTCCAGATTGTTTTAGCCCATATAGTGATCGCCTTAATTTGATTGGGAACATACCTCGTGGTTTGTTAGTTACTTCAGGCAACTTAAGTCATTCTGGGACTTTCATACATATGTCAGTATCTAATTCTCCATATAGATACGCAGTGATGACATCCATAAGTCGCATGTCAAGTTTTTATGAAATCACCAAAATTATTAAGTAACGGAACGTAATTGCGTCCATTACAGGAGAGTATGTCTTTTCATAATCAATTCTAGGTCTTTGTGAAAAATCTTGTGCAACGAGTTGTGCTTTATATCTTGCAATCTCGTTTTTCTCCTTACGTTTCCTTGTGAATACCCATTTGTAACCTACGGGATTCACACCAGGTGGGGTTTGGACTACTAGTCCAAAAACACTTCGTCTTTCCAAGAAATTTAATTTTGCCTGGATTGCATCTTTCCACTTAGGCCAATCATGTCTCTGCTTGCATTCATCAACAAAGCGGGGCTCAATGTCATCGCTTAATATAATTTCAGTGGCTATTGCAAATGCAAACATGTCGTCTATGATTATTTCATTTCAATCCCACAATTCATTAGTACATGTATAATTTATGAATATTTCTTTGCTTTCATGTACTTCTGTCTCTTCAGGGACATGTGTCTTATCAAGGACATTTTCTTTTTCTGGAAGTACGGAATCATGAATTGTGGATTTATCATTCATTTTCTTTTCCTGAATGATTTCATTTGGGTTCAACTGTGCCCTCATCTTTCTCTTTCGAGGGGCTGAATCTTTTGAACCTAGGGGTCTACCATGCTTCAGGCGTGCACTAGATGAATCATTCACTGCCACTTTATTTTATCCAATAGGGACATCAATTCTTGTAGGTGCATTTGCAGCTAGTATATGCGACTTTGTCACTTTCAAAGCATCATTAAATGCATCTGACATTTGATTAGCATTACCTTGAAGATGAACGATCATTTTCGCTTCATTTTCACAATGAGTGTTTCGTGGATCAAAATGAGATAAGGTGGGAACAACCCATGTCAGCTCTTGCCGTTTTTCTGGAATGGTCTTTTCTCTTCCTAACGACGGGAATATTGTCTCATCAAAATGACAATCAGCAAAACGAGCTGTAAACATATCACCAGTCAAGGGTTCCAAGTATCTAATGATAGATGGTGAATCAAAGCCCACATAAATTCTCAATATGCGCTGAGGTCCCATTTTAGTTCGTTGTGGCGGTGCAATAGGCACATAAACAGCACAACCAAAAACTCGTAAATGTGAAATGTTTGGCTGATGTCCAAACACAAGTTGTATTGATGAGTATTGGTGGTTGGCTATGGGTCTCAGTAGAACCAATGATGCTACATGTAAGATGACATGTCCCCATGCAGAGATTGGTAATTGCTTTTTCATAAGCAGAGTGCAGGCTATTAATTGAAGCCGCTTGATAAATGCCTCTGCTAAACCATTTTGAGTATGGACATGAGGAACAGGATATTCAATATCAATGCCCAGTGCCATGCAGTAATCATCAACGGTTTGAGATGTAAATTCACCAGCGTTATCAAGTCGAATTGACTTAATGTGATGATCTGAGAATTGTGCTCCCAACTTAATTATCTGAGCAAGAAGTCTCGCAAAAACTACATTTCGAGTAGACAATAGGCAAACATATGACCATTGAGTAAATGCATAAACCAAAACCATAAAATATCGAAATGGTCCACAAGGTGGTTGAATAGGTCCACAAATATCCCCTTGAATCTTTGCAAAAAT